AAGAAGAATGCAATAATAAACTTAACTGTTGTATTTTAGTAGTTGGCCAACACAGTGCAATGCATTACCGCCAGGTGTTATTCCGCGAGGCCCACAAACGTCGAACACCTACACCACAGCGCAGAGCTATAATGCAAGACGAGTACAGAATGATAATCAAACAAATGCTTTACAAGCTGCAGTAATCTATAAGCTAAAGTCCGACAAATATGATTCAAGTGTACCGCCAATTTCAAAACCAGATCAAGGTGAATTTACAGCTTTCAACTCTTTTTTTTCCAAGAGGAGATAAGCAAAAGAAAAAGGCTTAAGAGGACTGATGACAAAAAATATTGTTCCAATATTCATGTTTGATATTTAAACAATTGTCCAGTAAATTTAAAGAAGAGCTCCTTTCTGATACGATGCTTAACTGGTTAGCAAAAATGCAGTTTAGTGTTCCTGTAAAAATATAATAAATTAGTAAAAAAAAAAAAATAGATTTTTTTTTTCAACTTACAAACTTATTATCAATTATTAAGCATATTTTGAATTAATGCAGATCTACAAACTGGTCTTTTTCCTTTTTTGCCATTTCTTCATCAACGACGAATGTTGTACAGCAAACAGCAGTAGCAATAGTAACAGTATAGAAGAAAAATATTTTTTAAATAAACCAATAACAATATTAACACAATAATTTTTATTTTTAGGTGTTATTGTTTATGTACGTCTGTTGATACATCGTCTTATTTGGTTTGATAATCAAGCGGTATAATTTTTAAATCAACTTCTCCACAGAATTGTTTTAAAAAAAATTATCATTGTAGCAATACAGTTTTGAATCCAATTTTTATTGTTCAAATGGAAGAAAGAAAGTAATTTTATTTTACAAATGAAACAAAAAACACATCTTATTTTTCTTGCCAATCCAACAGTTAAACATCTTTAGGAAGCGCATATAAGTTTAAAAGAACAATGGCAAGATCCACGTTTCCAAGTACATTCAAAACAGGCGGTAACATTTCGATTGCCCGACGATATCAAAATATGGGTACCGGATACCTATTTCTCAAATGCTGTAGAAAAAAAATTAGGCGACAAAGTATTTCGAATTGTTGAAGAATCTGGATATGTACGTACCAATCAAATGTAAGTCAAAACTGAAAATGTTTTTTTTTTTTTTCTTTTAGTTGTTGACTGGTAATACAGAAACACTTCGTGTCAAATTTGTGCTCAAATTAAAAATAAACAAAAAAAAAAAATGAAACAAATAAGCAAACAAGAAATATAAAAAAAAAATAGAAAAAAAGAAACCAGTAATAATTTAGTACTTAATAATAAATATAAATAAATACGCAACGAGAATTTTTTTTTTTTTTTTTTTTTTGTAGAAAGGAATAATAATTAACAATAAAGAATTTATTGAAAAAAAGAAACCAAATTTTTCATATAGCAAAACATCAGTTTTTTTAGATTTTATTCTTTGTTGGTGGAGCAAAAATCGATAGATACGAAGCCAAAAATCACTGTCAAAACATTTACTTAGTTTTTTGTAATAAGGAATATCTAAATAAGTCACAACTTTAATCAATCGGTTCTCATTTTGACTTGCCAATGCTGTGAAGACAAAAATTAGTAACTAATAATGCAGTGTACTCCAGTTTACAGACATTCACTTTATGACACATCAGTACAAATTTATATCCAAGTACCTTTTCTACTCCCCATCCCCTTCGCAGGCTATCGATAGAAACCGTTTCACCTTTTCGTTCTTTTAGCATTTAATTAAGTAACAAATATTCTTCCTTTGCCACAGTGTGACAATACTGGTGGCAGTAATGCATGTCTAGCTTTGAAACAACCATTCAAACAATTCTTAGTAGTTACTCGACGTCACAAATCCTGTTATTTTACAGTTTTGAAGTCACAGTCATCACTAACAAAACAACTTTTAGGCGCAGTGTGCTAATCCCATTTAAAGAAGAATCAAAATTCCCTTTCATCAACAGAAAAAAATTCAGGCTACGACTGTCTAGTTGTAAGTGACCTTGCTCTACCCGACATTAAAAATATAACGCTCAACAGTGTCAAAAAAACAATGCTATTCGCTTTAAAAAAAGGCCAGAGAAAAAAGTTTCATCAAAAAAACTACATCCAATATCAAAAAATTAACTGTGCAGTTCTAACTTACGCAAGAACTATAAATCATCGCCATCATGTCTCGTATACGCTTTAGAGTTTTTAGATAGATACTCATCAAAAGAACTTCTGTACCAATGGGTTCCAACGCTATCCCCAGTTGAGCTTGCTAATCAAGTGCTATCCGAAAGATATAAAAATGAAAGTTACGAAATTCAAGATTGTAGCAAGAGATATTCGCCAGGTAAATTACGCTCCTTCTTTTAGCCACGCTTTACAACAGAAGAAATTGTTTTATCATCAATAAAACACTATCGTTCAAGAAAATTAAGTGAAGACAATTACTAATTAGCTGCATTTGATGCATAATTTTCGAAATCTTACTTAGCTTTATTCTTCAGATTCCTACTCTTGCCTGGAAATAAATCTCACATTCGTTGGGCCAATTAAACAAGGAATATTCAAAGTTTTTCTTCCGTCATTGCTTTTGGTAAAAGTTAACTCCACACTTTATCGTTAGCACACACCTGACATTTTAAAAAAATTGGGAAAGGTACTTGCTGAATGTTATTTTGCACCTTACTTTAGGTTTTCGCCTCATGGCTACACTTCTGGATCAATGGATCTTGGTCTGTGCCCCGTACATTGTCTGCTGGAGCGCCATTCCTTATATTTGCAATCTTGCTGGTAAGCGAAGAAGGTGTATTGAAAGTCATTTAAATTTTTCAGTAATTGAAATTTCATTACTCTCCGACGCAAAAGTACTTCCACAAAAGAAAAAAAAAGATCTTATACTGTGAAAATACAGTTTCAATAAGAGGTTTATATGCTTGACAACAACAGCGACATCTGTTTTTTAAAAAATACCGAACTGATACAAGTTGGGTTTTTCAGATGTTCTTCCCAAATATGTATGAGGATTATTCAAGGGGTACTCGAACGTGGTTCGTTACTTGTCTTCTCTTTACTTTTGCATCCTTCGTTGAATATTTTCTTGTGATATGTTGCGGTATGAGACGAACATTACGTTACACCAACGGGCTCCTTGAAAGTGACCATCCGGTAACAACTAAAGAGGTAACAACCACTACAATTTCAATGAATAATTCATCTTTCAATAAACGAGCACCACTACCACTATGCTCTTCCTTAAACCTAAGTTTCACTTGTCGGCGAAATACGACCGTAAAATCAAAGAAATTCCTCAACAATATTAAGACATGCCAACTTCGCTTTAAACCAATCTTTTGCAGATCCAAGACAGCCGTATGGAACCTCGGCCCGCTATGATCCGCAACGAAAGTTCCCTAGATATTGTTTCACGACTGCTGTTCCCACTCATTTTTGTAATATTTCTTTCCATATACCTCCTCGTACAGTTACTGTAACTATATAGGATTAGGAAAAAAACTCCTACCCCTTTTCCCTTGAACCTGAGCAAGTTTTTCTGTGTATAATCAGTAATTCCGTCACTGAATTTCGCTAAATGAAAAAGGTTAGTTATAAAAAACCTGCAAAAATTTCATGCTAGAACAACATCAGTGTGTTTCACAAGGCTGTCTCAAAATGACTTTTTTATTCGTCACGACTTGTTCATTTTTGATTTACAAAAAATTACTTTTCTTTGTTAGTCTATTTTATAAAAACTAATTTCGTGTTCATAAAACATAATATCATAGTATCACCGTATCACCAATCTAAGAAAACAACAGCAACAAAATTAAGTAATCAAATGAGGAAACATATTAAACTGTGATAAATAGTAATAACGCGTTTGGCACCTTCATAAAAAAATCAAAATCCACATGCAGTTCAACAAAATCAGGACAACATTATGGCAAAGTGAAGAAATGCACCACCTGCTTTAACCCGGATATAAATTACAATTCTAAAAAAAACAAGAGGAAAAGAAAAGAAACAAATACCACTTTTTGACTCAAAAAGAAATAAGTACATTGAGAAAAAAGAACATATACACCACATCTTTTAGACAGCAATGTATTCGAAAAACTCAGATGCTGAATACTTACAATTTACATCTGAGCCAAAAATAGTTGATCCAGCCCTGTACTATAACCACAGACCTTTCTTTCCTACCCACTGTCCGAAATAATATAACACATCAATCAATCTCACTAATATATTAAGTACTAGAAGGTAAATATAAAGAGATCTTGTTAATAATGCTAAAAATATATAAGACACGTTGTGCAAAAAAGAAAATATTTGACAAAGTGCATAAACGAACCGAGTAACTTGTGTTAGAAAAAGTTGAAAATGACTAACAATGCGCTAAAAAGATACAGGATCAAGTTCATCAAGTATTAACATTTAAAATAGGTTTACTTCAACAAATATTATATATTCGAATCCGACCACACCAAAACTTTTTAAAATAAAGTTCTGATCATTAAAAAACATCATTTGCCTCATCTCTTACTTATAAAACTATACAACCTAAAAAAATTAACAATTTTGCGCCATGGCTCAAAATTCTTGAAACCAATTTGTTCCCATTTAAAAGTAAAACCACCAAATAAAACTCTTAAACTTCAGATAACTCCCCAAAGGTGCTCACAATCTGAGACTAAAACTTTCCTCAAAAATCCATTCCTCCTCCCTCCCCATGAATTTCGGCTTACTTTCACATAAATTATTGACGGTTAGCCTCCCTAGTAAAATTAACCAATTTGAAGAATAAAACGAAGTGATTTGGACTACCCTGCGGCAATATAAACAAGATAAAATTTTCTCTCAACATATACAAATAATAACCAATCAGAAATACTAATAAATCTATCCTAAAAAGTACTACAAGAGAAAAAACATGCACCGCGAAAACCATTGAACACAGTGTCACTTATCGTGAGAAGCTGCAGTACCTGACAAAATATCAGAAACAAAAAACTGAGATAATCAAACAAAATCATTCTGTCTGTTGCTGGTGAAAAACTTGCAACCATGTAACCAAACTTTTCCAATTTCTCAATCGCTCAGCAAACCTTTCAAGTTTCCTCACAGAAGTTGGCTAAAGTAGAAAAGCACCTTAAGAGGCGCTCACAATAGAAACCCTTGATAAAGTTCATTTTCAATTCACCCATTCTGAAGGAGGCTCGCCAACGTCAACATAAATATGATAGTAGAGGGGTGTTACAAGTTCCTATAACAAACTTTCAGAAAGCAGAAGTCTTAAAGTAGCCTCAATGAGAGCAACCATTATACACACCACAAAGGATAAAACAGCTCTTGTAATACTTTAAACACAAAACTTACAAAATATGCAAGTCACGTACCTTAACAATTTTCCAAGAAGTAACATTTAGCCCATCTTTCGGCCACCGTTTCTCAGAGCTCTCTAATAACTTGTATCTAAATAACTCCCACCTAAGTAACGTTGAAAATATACAAGTAGACATTTGAAACCAAAAACAACGTTGAAAAATTACATGAGTTTAGGTGCAACACGTTTTCTTTTGACATGTTTCAACATAGAAAATCGTCCATATTTCGCATCTGGTCTTTCTATATTCATATTTAGTGAAATCATTCGTTTACCTAAAGAACTCATTTCTATAAAATCGGAAATTACATAACCAAAACTAACTTATCTTCCTAACCAGCTGTGCCCAGATGTATCTCCTAACCAATACAAATTAGCTCTCCTGATAGTAACAGTTGTCTAGAAATCATTAACAATTTTATGATCGGTGCTCTGTTAGATGCTGTCTCTTACTGCCCCGTATTACAACAGTCGAATTGAAAAAAAGTAAGATCATAAAATCACACCAAGAAAAGGCACACAATCAAGAATAAGTCAGTAGCGACACACTATCTTGAAGTAGGCAGTATAAAAGTTGTACTAAGAAGAGGAAAAAATTGGCTACAACTAATAGAAATCAAATTACCCATATCATCATCTTCACCTCCCCAAGACCAATACATATTTGAATAACCATTGACGGTCCTAAAGTCATTCATCGTCATTGCTAAAACACCTCCAACAATTTCTTTATACCACAGCCTGAAAAATAGACAACAAAATAAAATTCAGCGAGAAGGATATGACGTACTTCATAAGTTACCAAGTCAAAAATACTTTATCCGGCAGAGCAACACGCAAAAATACTTACTGGTAGCCAAGGTTATTGACAAATGCGCCAATATGACGTGGGCTGTTTGGACAACCATAAGAAATCCTGTCATCCTGCGGAAACATGTCGACGTCATGGAAGATCACACAATCAACACCCAGCTTTTCAGCAACTCGAAAAGCAGCATTCATAATGCGACCTTTATTGAACAACCCAGTGCCATACTAAACAGAGTAATAATAGGTATCGAAAATCGCCAAAAATTTGCAGAGACTCGTTTTGCTTCTGCATCCCTTCCATCAATTTAAAATTCTTCTTAGTTTCCTCCTTTTACAAACTTAAAAATAATGCTGCGAACCCGTCCATATGGCAGGCAACAGATCACAAATTCAGGTAAATTACCCCGCCACACAAAAAACTAACACTTTCAAATTATTCAAACTCAGTGGCTTCCAATTCAAAACTTACTTAAGCGGCACTTTCCCCTTTTAATCATAAACGACCCCGAAGGAAAGGTTACTTCCAAGAGGTTTAACAGTTTGAATACTTTAGAAAAACCATTACCATTTTTGCATCACATCAAATACAGCCGCCTATCCCTCGCCTAATTCTGAACAAACTTGTGAGAAAAATTAACATGATTCAGAGAATTGAAAAAAGTCTCATTAGAATATCCATTTTATTACGTATGAGCTCACAATTATTTCCAGCCTCAACCGTGCCCCTTTAAAACTCTATGTCTTTCTACAGATTACAGTTCAACAATTTACACGCATTTCAGTTATAGTACACTGAATTACCATACCAGGAAAAGCCCTAAATAATACCAATTTTCTCCAAAACGCAAATTCTTCAACTTTAAATTACAGGGCATAAATTCTAAAAAGTACTATAATCCAATGAAAAGGGCTAGTCTCAAAAGAGTTCGAATTATGAAAATGAACTATCTATGAAAGTCTAAGCTCACTGTCTGATAGAGATCAGATCTGTTACTAATGCTAAATAAAGCAATCTTCAAACAAATCCGGTATAGTGAAGTAATACTAATTTATTTCATAAATAATGAAGAATCAAAGCTGGAACTCCTGAAACGTAAGCCGAAGCCAAAGCTCATAAAATTTGGAGATATAAAATAAGTTTCAAGCACAGACATTTAAGTGCAGTTAAATAACAACAAAAAAATTTAAATCCTTCTCCACTGTGAAATAAATATGCGCAAAAGGTTTAAAGCTACGTTCTTTTGTCACCAAAATAACGCGACTTTCTGAATTGTAAGAGCACGCACTTGTGCCATACTTCAATGCCCAAACTTTATAAATTATGGGAACAAAAAACCTTCGTTCGATTCCTAACAAATAAACATTATCGTATGCTTCCAATTTCATATAAAAAATCCTGGTAAAATCCAATAATTCAGTTTAGTAAAAAAAGACCTTATAACTGCCAGGTTTTCCAAACAATCTGCATTTTGCCAACAAGCCAAACCCCTACAAACCTTTACAAAATTAATTCAAAAAATGCATCTTCCCATACGTCTAAAAAAGTCTTTTGTTTTACAAAAATAATGAAGAAAGAACAAAGACTTGCTGTGGTGGAAACATCACAAGCCTTTTAAACAGAGCAATAACAGCTACCAAAACTTCAAAAGATATTGTGAGACTGTGAACAGTCCTCAAATATTCAACACTGTAGTGGAA